AGGAGGGAGGAGGGAGGAGGGAGGAGTGAGGAGGGAGGAGGGAGGAAGAAGGAGGAGGAGGAGGAGGAGGAGGAGGAGGAGGATGGGCACCCATGGTGTCGCAAAGCGCTGACGCCAACTTTAAAAGCCAAAGTGGCTACGGAAATGCAAGTCGAAACGCCGTTTCGATGCCCCCTGGAGAAGTGCGATTTAAACGTCGCGCTCCTGGACGGGCGCCCGTGGAGGACGCAGGGGCGATGCCAAGGTGGTTTGGGCGAGCGCCTGGCGGGATATTTTGGCCAAGCCTCCGCTCAGACATTTGGAACAAGCGCTTAGGCGCCCTACGTCGGGATACGTGCGCCAAGCAGCGGCCCCTGGAGTACCTCCAGGCCCCTCCGGAGCTGCTCCCAAAAAAGCCCAAGGGAACCCCCAAAACAGCCCGATGACGGCGGATGGTGATTTATCCACAAGAGAAGACGCCAGGTATCACATGTGAAGCATCCTGCGCACCCTTCGTCTCGGCGGGCCTCTTGGACGGGGGGCGAGGACAGAGAGGGGGTAGGCAAGCTAAGCCTCCAGACGTCGAATCGCGAAACACGATATGCATCTTCGCGCTCTCGCGCCGCCCCCTGGAGAAGCGCAATTTAAACGTCGCGCTCCTGGGCGGGCGCCCGTGGAGGACGCAGGGGTGATGCCAGGATGGTTTGGGCGAGCGCCTGGCGGGATATTTCGGCCATGCCTCCGCTTAGACATTCGGAGCAAGCGCTTAGGCGCCCTACGTCGGGATACGTGCGCCAAGCAGCGGCCCCTGGAGCACCTCCACGGCCCTCCGGAGCTGCTCCCAAAACATGATGGACCCACGAACCCGGAAAGGGATATAGACATGTGGAGCATGGACACGTTTTCACGATACCCAACTGGGCAACACCTCACGAAACATCCCACGAGACACTTCACGAAACATCCCACGAGACACCTCACGAAACATTCCACGAGACACCTCACGAAACATTCCACGAGACACCCCGCGAAACATTCCACGAGACACCCCACGAAACATTCCACGACGACAGGCAACCACTCAACCAAGGCGGTGTGGTCGTGCTGGGGAGTGGTCGTGCTGGGGTGTGGTCGTGCTGGGGGTGGTCGTGCTGGGGGGGTGGTCGTGCTGGGGGGTGGTCGTGCTGGGGCGTGGTCGTGCTGGGGCGTGGTCGTGCTGGGGCGTGGTCGTGCTGGGGTGTGGTCGTGCTGTGGTGAGGTCGTGCTGGGGTGTGGTCGTGCTGGGGTGTGGTCTTGCTGGGGTGGGGTCGTGCTGGGGTGGGGTCGTGCTGGGGTGTGGTCGTGCTGGGGTGTGGTCGTGCTGGGGTGGGGTCGTGCGTGTCGTGCTGGGGTGTGGTCGTGCTGGGGTGTGGTCGTGCTGGGGTGTGGTCGTGCTGGGGTCGTGCTGGGGTGTGGTCGTGCTGGGGTGTGGTCGTGCTGGGGTGTGGTCGTGCTGGGGCGTGGTCGTGCTGGGGTGTCGTGCGTGTCTGGGGTGTGGTCGTGCTGGGGTCCGCACCCTGTGATTTATCGATCGGGGGTGCTGGGTCGTGCTGGGGTGTCGTGCTGGGGGGTGGAAAAAACAAATTCTGAAAAACAAGCGTTTCGCTCGAGACATCCTCGACAAATTCTGAAAAACAAGCGTTTCGCTCGAGACATCCTTAAATTTTAATTCGCCGGCAATTCGCCGGCCTCCTTCAACCTCGTTATTTATCAGGGAAAAAATTCGCGGGCAATTCGCCGGCCTCCTTCAAGCAGGCGCCGGGGGACTAGTTTACAAACTAAAAGAGAACCCTGGGCCGGCGCCCTTTCCGGGAAAAGCCCAATGGAACCCCCAAAACAGCCCGATGACGGCGGATAGTGATTTATCCACAAGAGAAGACGCCAGGTATGGGCGAGCGCCTGGCGGGATATTTCGGCCAAGCCTCCGCTTAGACATTTGGAGCAAACGCTTAGGCGCTCTACGCCGGGATACGCGCGCCAAGCAACGGCCCCTGGAGAACTTCCAGGGGGCTCCAAAACTGTTCCAACAAAAACACAAGAAAACCCCCAACACAACCCGATGACGGCGGATGGTGATTTATCCAGAAGAAAAGACGCCAGGGGTCAAATGTGAAGCGCCCTGCGCATCCCTCGTCTCGGCGGGCTTCTTGGGCGGGGGGCGAGGACAGAGAGGGGGTAGGCAAGCTAAGCCTCCAGACATCGAATCGCGAAACACGATATGCATATTCGCGCTCTCGCGCCGCCCCCTGGAGAAACGCGATTTAAACGTCGCGCTCCTGGACGGGCGCCCGTGGAGGACGCAGGGGTGATGCCAGGATGGTTTGGGCGAGCGCCTGGCGGGATATTTTGGCCAAGCCTCCGCTCAGACATTTGGAGCAAGCGTTTAGGCGCTCTACGCGGCCCCCACAGAAGCCCAAGGCAACCCCAGAAACAGGCCGATGACGACGGGGGGTGGTTTGTCCCAGAAGAAAAGACGCTCGGTGCCACACGCAACGCATCCAGCGCACCCTGCATCTCGGGCCAAGCACGCGACAGCTCCATCCCAACCCCGCACAAGCGTAAGTGGGCCCTTAGACAACCCAGGCAGTGTTCATGAGAGCCGGGAGAAACGTGATAACAAACCGAATATAACCTAAGCAAGGCGCATGAGAGGGGCGAGCGCCCGCAAAGATATGCAAGCCACGCGGCGTCCGGGATATTTTGGCCACGCGGCTCGGCGTCCGACGCCGCGCAGAGGTCTACAGTATTCGGCGGCACGTTTGTGGCGATTTTTGCGTTCTCATTTGCGTGGCTTCCGACGGCCCAGAAAGGCCCAGAAGGCACCAAGATGGCCCCGAGACAACCCGAGAGGCTCCCAAGAAGGCCCCAGGACTGCCCAAGGGGCCCCAAGATTGCTGAAGAAGCCCTCGAAGAAACACCGGGAGCCTCTGAACCTGTCGGGGGCCTCCTGGAAGCCCTCTTTTGAGCCTTCTTGAGAGTGCTCTTGGAGGCCTCTTGGAGCGTTTTGGAAACCTCCTGAGCCGTCTGGAGGCTATCGCGACTAGGACCAATACTTCGGCGATTCGGGGCCCTCGAGGACCTTCTGGGGGGCATCTTGGGGCACTTTTGCTACGTCGTGGTTTTTTTTTTGACCGACGACGACGACAACAGCTGTCATCCCCGTCACATATTCATCTCTTCCCCCCTCCTCCCTTTCAACCTCCCCCGCCATCATTCCCTGCACATCCCTTCTCTTACGTCCCCCCCTCCTACCTTCCCACGTCCCGCCCTCGTGCCTCCCTCCTCCTCCTCCGCCCGCCTACATCCTTGCCCCTGCCCTCGTACCCCCCTCCGCTCTCTTTCTCCGCCCTCCTATCTGCATCCCCCCTGCCTTACATCTTCCTCCTCTGCCCTCCTCCTCTACCTTCTACCTCCCTCTTCCTCCTTCGCCTTCCTACCTCCTACCTCACTCTGCCTCCTTTTTCTTTCCCTCCGCCTCTAACTTTCCAAACCCCCGCGCGCGTTGGGCGGAGACGCTCACGGGCGGAGGTGCGACCAGCACCGCCGCCGCCGCCGTCCTCCTGCTGCTCCTCCCCCTCCTGTTCCTCTTCCCTCCTCCTCCTCTTCCTCTTCCCCCTCTCCCCTCCTTCTCCAGCCCCTCCCTCACCCCTCCGCCCTCCGCCTCCTCCTTCCTCCTCCACTTCCCGCATCCTTCTCTCCCTCCTTGCTCCCTGTCCCTCCTATCCCTCCTGCCCCTCCTCGTCCTCGCCATCCTTCTGCTACTGGCCCTCCTCCTTCTCCTCCTCCTCCAGGAAGGCTCGCGCGCGAAGGCGCGCCGGGCGGAGGTGCGGCCACCACGGCAGCGCCGCCATCGTCGCCGCCGCCGTTGTCGTCGTCGTCCGTCCCTCATCCTGCTCCTCGTCCTCCTCCCTTTCCCCGCCTCCCTCTTCCTTCTCCGCCCCCTCCCTCCTCCGCCTCCTCATCCCTCCTCCGCGAGCTCCTAATCCTCCTCCTCTCCCTCCTTCCTCTCTCTCCATCCTATCCCTCATGCCCCTCGTCGTCGTCGTCCTTTTCCTCCTCCTCCTCCTCCTCCTCCTCCTCCTCCTCCAGCGGGGCTCGCAAGCCGAGTGCATACACTGTTTGAAAATGCAGGAGGAGGTGGAGGAGGAGGATGAGGAGGAGGAGCAGGAGAAGGAGAAGGTCCCGCCCGAATCGGTCAGCACCGCATAGTGAAGTCGTGCCGGATCGGAGTGCGCGTCGGGTCGGGCCGACTTGGCGCGGGGTCGGCATTGGCTCGGAGCGGCCGCGACAGTACGCCAGACCGCGTCGTGCACACCAGACCGCCGCCACTGCCAGCGTCGTCGTCGTCCCTCCTCCTGCCCCCTCTCTCCTCCTCCTTATTTCTTTCTCGCCGTCGTCCTCCTGTCTTTCTCCTCCTCCTCCTCCTTGTCCTCCTCCTTCTGGTCCTCGCTCTCGTCCTTCTCTTCATCTTCGCCTACTTATTCCCTCGAGCATGCCGCCCAGGATCCAAAACCTCCACAGCACGAAACCTCCAACAGCCGTGAACAAGGCATCCTGGCGCCCTCGCGGCCCCCCCCGAGACGGCCTTGAAGCCGCGGGGAGCTTCCCAAAGGAGCCCGAGAAGATCTCAGGAGCCTCGAAGAGAGCCCCCCCCCCCCCAGAGGCGTAGGAAGGCCCCGCGAGAGGCCGCGCTCTGTTCGTTTTGAGCGACCCTCAAAACGAACACCGCGAAGCTCTTCTTGGTTCCGCCCTGGCGCCCCGGAGGCCCCTACCGAGACGGCCTTGAAACCGCGAGGGGCCCCCGAAAGGAGCCCGAGAAAATCTCAGGAGCCTCGAAGAGAGCTCCGAGAGAGGCCCAGGAAGACCCCGCGAGAGGCCGCGCTTTGAGTCCAATGGGCCCTATGGGACCCCCGCTCGCCCCTTTCCGCCCTCCCCCCCTCGCCCCTCATCCCTCTGAGGCACGCATTGCGGCCAGTGGGGTCCTGTCTCATGTGGTCCACGATCTGCGCTTCGCCGAACTTCGGACCTGCATCATAGCTCGCCGCAGCGTCGGGGAGCTCGTCGAGCGCCTCCATCGCGGCGAGACGCAGGCCCGCTGGGTGGAGAGACCCACTGGGTGGAGACGCACCGCGACGCAGCGGCGAGGCCTCGACGGAGAGACGGCCACCACGGGCGGCAGGACGACGCGGATGGCGATGGCGACCCGCCACCCACCCCAAGGCCCTGGAAGGCCTCCAGAGGTCCCCCGCGCAGGGGTCTCTTCCCAGGGCTCTCCTGGAGCCCTGGGGGGGCCCCCCAAGGATCCCAAGAGCGCTCCAAGAGGGCCGCGCGGGCTCCAAGAGGGCCCCACGAGGGCCCCCTCTGCTGTCAGGATGGCGATGGCCATTCTGGCGACCATGATGATGGCGCTGGCAACGGTGATGATGGCGATGACGGCGATGACGGCGATGACGGCAACGGTGATGACGGCGTCGCAACCAGAGTCATGGCCCATGACTCTGGTTGCGACGCCGTGAGGGGCGAAGGGCGGGGGTGCGAGGGCAGGGCGGCCAGCGCCGCTAGCAGCAGGAGGAAGGCGAGGAGGATGCCGAATGTGGGAGCATCCCGACCCGCTCAACTCTGTTTGTTGGCCGGACTCGATGCTGCGCCGGGGGTCGACTTGCTCGCAGTCTGCTCAGCCCCTGCATCGTCGCACGGCGTAGCCCGGGAAAACGAAAAACCCTCACATCATCCCAGGAACTCACCCCTAACTCAGAGTTCCTGGGGGTGGGCCTGACACCATGCATCGACGCGTGCAAGCAATTGCGCCTCAGTGTACTGAGACGCGTAAGCCTCTATATTAGCCCGGTCTTCAGGGAACGCCCTGCGATGATCGTTCCTGCTCTCAGCCCCGTCCAACGCCACGTCCAGGCCTTCGGTGAGCCAGCGGCGCAAGGCCTGGACAACTACTGCATCTGGCAGCGGGTCGCGCTTGCCCAGGGTGCAATTCTTCGTACCTCCCAAGACCAGCCCCCAATGACTCCAACGCGCGGGCCGCTCGTGCCCCCACAGCCCCCTGCCCTTGGGTCGCACGAAACATGATGGACCCACGAACCCGGAAAGGGATATAGACATGCGCAGCATGGTCACGTTTTCACGATACCCAACTGGGCGACATCTCACAAAACATCCCACGAGACACCCCGCGAAACATCCCACGAGACACCTCGCGAAACATTCCACGAGACACCTCGCGAAACGTTCCACGAGACACCCCGCGAAACATTCCACGAGACACCCCACGAAACATTCCACGAGACACCCCACGAAACATTCCACGAGACACCCCACGAAACATTCCACGGGGGTGCGACTGGGTGTGGTCGTGCTGGGGTGTGGTCGTGCTGGGGTGTGGTCGTGCTGGGGGGGTGGTCGTGCTGGGGGGTGGTCGTGCTGGGGCGTGATCGTGCTGGGGCATGGTCGTGCTGGGGCGTGGTCGTGCTGGGGTGTGGTCGTGCTGTGGTGAGGTCGTGCTGGGGTGTGGTCGTGCTGGGGGGTGGTCGTGCTGGGGGGTGGTCGTGCTGGGGGGGTGGTCGTGCTGGGAGGTGGTCGTGCTGGGGAGTGGTCGTGCTGGGGCGTGGTCGTGCTGGGGCGTGATCGTGCTGGGGAGTGGTCGTGCTGTGGTGAGGTCGTGCTGGAGTGTGGTCGTGCTGGGGTGTGGTCTTGCTGGGGTGGGGCCGTGCTGGGGTGGGGTCGTGCTGGGGTGGGGTCCTGCTGGGGTGTGGTCGTGCTGTGTGGTCGTGCTGGGGTGGGGTCGTGCTGGGGTGGGGTCGTGCTGGGGTGGGTCGTTCTGGGGTGTGATCGTGCTGGGGTGTGGTCGTGCTAGGGTGGGGGTCGTGCTGGGGTGGGGTCGTGCTGGGGTGTGGTCGTGCTGGGGTGTGGTCGTGCTGGGGTGTGGTCGTGCTGGGGGGTGGTCGTGCGTGCTGGGGGGGTGGTCGTGCTGGGGGGTGGTCGTGCTGGGGCGTGGTCGTGCTGGGGCGTGGTCGTGCTGGGGCGTGATCGTGCTGGGGTGTGGTCGTGCTGTGGTGAGGTCGTGCTGGGGTGTGGTCGTGCTGGGGTGTGGTCTTGCTGGAGTGGGGCCGTGCTGGGGTGGGGTCGTGCTGGGGTGGGGTCCTGCTGGGGTGTGGTCGTGCTGGGGTGTGGTCGTGCTGGGGTGGGGTCGTGCTGGGGTGGGGTCGTGCTGGGGTGTGGTCGTTCTGGGGTGTGATCGTGCTGGGGTGTGGTCGTGCTAGGGTGGGGTCGTGCTGGGGTGGGGTCGTGCTGGGGTGGTCGTGCTGGGGTGTGGTCGTGCTGGGGTGTGGTCGTGCTGGGGGGTGGTCGTGCTGGGGGGTGGTCGTGCTGGGGGGGTGGTCGTGCTGGGAGGTGGTCCTCAGAATTCAGGTCCCCAGGAGAGGACAATCTATAACACAAAACAAGCGTTTCGCTCGAGACATCCTCACCATTTTCTGAAAAAACAAGCGTTTCGCTCGAGACATCCTCAAATTTTAATTCGCCGGCAATTCGCCGGCCTCCTTCGACCTCGTTATTTATCAGGGAAAAAATTCGCCGGCAATTCGCCGGCCTCCTTCAAGCAGGCACCGGGGGATTAGGTTTACCAACTAAAAGAGAACCCTGGCCCCCGCCCTTTCCGGGAAAAAAGGGCGGCTGTGGAACGGGGGGGGGGGGGGGGCGATTTTCCCGGCGATGGCGCCCAGGCGTCGAGGGATGGGGGATGGGCCTGGCGGCGGGGCCGAAACCAGCTGCGCGCAGCAGATGTTGCACACCCCCTGCCCCATCCCCCAATTTCGCGCGGCCCGATACCCGACGTCCGAACAATATCAATTAGACCCGATCCTGCAGACCCCATCGCAAAGACCATGTGTACAACATGAACATAACATGGATCACATCTGCTTGCGCACTGGCTGAAAGAGGGTACTTTCTCTAGATGGCATGCTCCCCGTTGCACATGACCCAAACCATTTCTGCGGTGCATCACGCGTGCAATTGCTGCGCCCCCCCCCCCTGACATCGGTTGCTGTCGTCTGCATTCAAGTGCCGATTGCAGTTCGCGCCCCAGCCGGTGTGCACGCCGCGAGTGACCACTTTGGAGATGCTGAACTTGGGGTGCACACTCCATCTGCCAGCGCGCACAGCCCGGGGCCTCCGATGCTCGCCCTCGTCATCTGCCTCGGCCTCGCCGTCCGGCGCCGCCGGCGGCGGCGGGGGGCTCGGATCGGGCTCGGGCGGCGGGGGCGGCGGGGGCTCAGGCCCAGGTGGCGGGCGCACGGGCGCCGCCTCGCCGCCGCCTCCGGGGCCGCCCCCTCCGCCCTGGCCCCCCTCGTCGATCTCATCTGACTGTCCGGTGGACCCCTCCTCCTCTGTGAACTCAGTCAAACTCCGCTCGTCTGGGCCTTGGACTGTAAATTTGCCTGTCTTTTTACTGCCGCCCCTGGCGCCCCGACCTCCCTCGACGAGCTGATCAATCGGCTCGACCGGGCCGCGCGCCGCGCGTGTCACGACGGCCCGTGGCCAGACCGATCTCGGCAAGCCCTCGGCGGCGACTCTGACGCCCCTCCCGGGGGCGCGGTCCAAGCGAAGAGCCGCGCAGGTCAAGGAAAAAGCCTCGAGACCAACGTCGCGGATATCATCTGGCGCGCAAATCTTGGCAAGCATCCAAGGGGTGTGCCAGTCAAAGAGCATGGGGGCACGCTCATGGCACGCAATGGCGCCAGCATCCCTGCCCTCCGATTCAGCGAAGTCGCTGCCCCACTCGCACCTGCAGAATACGTGCGTAACAAATGCATATGGTCGCCGTTGTCGGTGGTGAGCGAAGTATCTGCCCACCCCGCGCAATCGGAAAAAAATGCGGCAGACGGCGAGGGCGGGGGACTGGCGGAATGGAGCAATCAACCACGGCGAACGAATAACACGCACGCACACCCGCACCCACACCCACGAGGGTCGGAGGGAGAGGGACTGGCCAAGGGCACGGGCTGTCGGCTCTCCGGCACCTCCTCCTCCTCCTCTGCCTCCTCCTCCCCATCCCCCTCCTCCTCCTCCTCCTCCTCCGCCTCCACCTCCACCTCCTCCTCCTCCTCCTCCTCCTCCTCCTCCTCCTCCTCCTCCTCCTCCTCCCCCCCCTCCCCCCCCCCTCCTCCGGGCGCGGGCTGTCGGGCCCCAGAGGGCGCTGCCGTTCGAGCGGGGACCTTGATCCGACAGCGCGCGCCCGCAGCCCCCCCCCCCATGGGCACGGGCTCGCGCGCGCAGTTCCTTCGTGGAACATATCCCACCAGCCCTCTGGGCGCAGGTGTTCTAGGGCGTTTCCTTCTTCCAACCTCCTTCCTTTCCCTGCTTGGGAGGCTTGCCAACCCACCCCCCTCCGTGCGCTTGGGCGGGGGGGGGGCCCGACCCATAGCGGCGTCCAAGATGGCCCAAGATGGCTCCGAGAGGGCCTCAGAGAGCGCAAGGCGGCCTCCAAGATGGCCCAAGATAGCGGTAGATGGGCCAGGGGCCGCACCGAGAAAGGAAGGGCGATGGAGGGGCGAAAAACGGGAAGGGCCCAGGGGGTCGAAGGGGGGAAGAACGGCTGGCCCAGAAGAGGGAAGTGTAAATTCACGCGGCACGGAATTTCGACCCCATGGCCCATGGCCCATTCCACGGGCCAGGCGCCATCTGATCGTCTTCGGGGCCGCCCCGAGGCCCAAGAGAGGAAGGCCCCCCTGGAATTTCGACCCCCCTCTCCAGGCCAGGTGCCATCTGATCGACTAGAGGGCCGCCCCCCTCGGGCGCCCCCCTGATGATCTCACCCCCCCTCCTCCGCCTCCCTGAAAACTCGCGCGCAAAATGGCGCCACATAGGATTGCAATGCCGTTCCGTTTCTGCCGGCATCTCTTACTGGTGCCCGCTAGTAACTCGTTGCCTACCCATCATAAGGAACCGAGCTCGAGTCTTCACTCTTTGCCGCTGCCCCCCTGCCCCTCCCCCCACACAGGCACGGTCGCCACGTCGGCGCGGTTGGCCCCGTCGCCGACGAAGGAGCGCAAGACGAAGAACTCGCCGACCGCATCGGGCTGGAAGAAATGCTTGATGGCGCCAGCAATCTTCACGATCTCGCCGTAGATGCCCTTGTCCCGCGAGAAGCAGAGACCAAAGTGCACGGCGTGGCACGGCATCGGCAGGGACAGATCAGCAGTAGACGGGATCGCCGCAGAGTGATCTGGGACGTCCTTGATCAAGTAGTCGGGCAGGGCTCGGTCCCGGATCGACCTGAAGCGATGGTCGACCCCGCCCCTCGCATCGCTCTCAACGTCAAACTCGCGCGGGACCGCGCCGTCCGACATCCTGAGCATGGCCTCGACGTTGCTCGGCGCCACGCACCACTTGTCATCCCCGATGAGAGCAGCCCATACTGATTTGGATATCACGCTACCAGGCTCGAGATCGGGCTCGGGGACGCCCTGGAGGCCGCCATCGGCGAGGCGCCGCTGCCTCCGCTCGAACTCCAGCTTCTCATCAGCCGATGCCGTTGACCATAACTTCATGCACCTCGAACGCTGCTGGCCGAGCTCCTCCGAGGTCGCCTCGGGGTGCTGGCTGGCCCACTCTGTGAACTTCAAGTTGCCGTAAGCAAGATGCATCCGAGAACCCGCAGCCCCCCGGCGCGCTCGATCCTTGGCAGCGGCAGCAATGGGGACCCCCTTCTCGATCAACTCGGCGCGCTTGGCCGGGCCCCTGGAATCTCCGAAACCACTCCGCACGTACCTGTTGTGGAACTGCGTCAGCCCGCCGCCGTAAATCAATCTCTCGGCCGTCGGGTGGCGAGATACATGCGGGCACGACTTCTTGATCAGAGCCAGAAGCCTCTCCAGGCCCATGTTGGTGCACCCGCCGCGACTGCTCAAGCTCTTCGCCATGTGGCCCAGGTCGTCCAGCGACGCGCCAGCCGTCCGCAGCGGGAGAGTGAAGCCGCAGTCCAGGCAACATCGAGGAACCCGCTTGAACAAGGAGTGCAGCTGCTCCTTGACGCCATCGGGGCACTTGGGGTCGGCAAGCCTGCACCACGCAAGAGGGGGCCTGGAGAGCGGGATCTCGATGCGAGACCACACGATGGCGCTGATGCTCATCGCCCTGCGGAAGCACAGCATCTTAAAATCGAATTGGTCGACCTGCGGGTCCAAGGCAAAATGGTGCCCTAGCATCGCCGCTGTCCACGTCGAAGACGGATGTGAGAGCGCCCGCCTGAACAACTCCGCCTGACATTCGAAAACGCACCCCGCAGGGTCAGCGGCATCTGGCAGGGCGAGGCCGTGTTCCTCCAAATACTGCAGCCTGGAGTCTAACGCCTCGATTGGTTCTGCACCCCAGAGGGCGACCACGGACTCTTTCCAGAACTCTGGATCCTTGATGGCTGCCTTGCCTTTGTTGACTCTCTGGGCGATTCTCTGCCTCCACGGGTCCTCCTCGTTCTCCTCGTCGAGATCCTCAATGGTCAGTGGCCCTATCTGCGGCAAAATGCGGTTGATCATGATAAGCGACACTTGGGGAACCATCGACGGCCCAATAGTGTACCATTTCGACGTCGAGGGAAGGACCGACGCCAATGGATCCAGAAACGTCTCCGTCAAAGCGCTGACCTCAGGGAGCGAGCAGAAACGCGTTGGCCCCCCCTGCCGGCCCGAGAGCGGCCCCAAGGGGGCCCCAGAGGCGCTCTATCGCGCATGTCGTTCTCGTGGACAAAACACCCTGGGCCCTCCCGGGGCGGGCGCTCGAACTCCCCCGGGCACTCTTGCGCCCTGGAATGGCGGCATCTCAAGGCGGATCAGGGGGGCTCAAAAGGGGTCCAGATGACTCCAAGATGGCACCAAGACGGCTTCAAATCGACCACAGAGCTGTGGCGCGGCCATGATGCATCTCAAGGTTGGCGCGGCGTCCGCAAAATGCCCTTTCGGGGCCCCGTCGGGGTCGCTCCCGAGCTGGCAGGCAGGGGCCAGAACGGTTTCCCCAGACGCTCGGCCCGTCGACAATTTTGTCGCATGCATCCGAGGGGCCGCTGCAGCAGTTGTTGCACACGTGCGAGACCCTGTCGGACCTGATGTCGCCCGTGAGCAAGCTCTGGAGAACCTCGCACCTGTACCGCACGAGGTCCTCGCCCCTCGCAGGGCCCAGCTGCCAATCGCGCCCTCGCGTGCGCAAGGGGCGGCATACGCACAGAGACAGGACGGCGGACGTGTGGCTGAGGTCGGACTGCGAGGGCTCGCCGATCATGTACCCGCCGGTGTGAAGATCCGAGGACACCTTCTCCCGTAGCTTCCTCATGAAAGCGCTGAGCCGAGGCTGGTAGCGGAAGGTGAAGGCCACGTTGTACAGGGACGGCACCAGCTGGGTGTGCTTGAATGTGAGGTACACAGATCTGTTGAGAATGTGACTGTAACACAGCTGCGTAACAATAAGGAGCCATCCCTGCCACCTGGTCGGGTCGTCTGCGTCGCGGTCGGCTCCTTCATTGAAGGCCGCCGCAGCCTGCATGCAGTACGTCATCAGACGTATGTTGGGCATGGCCCCATCACTTCCCAACACGTACATGATGAAATCGACTGATTGCAGCAGGCCGCTGGCCGTGTGGAAGTTGAAAGGTGATCTACTGAAAGCCCGATAAGTGCAATCTGTCCCACTCGAAGTCATAAACATGGGTGGGACAATCACTTCCTCCGCTCGCGAAACCTTGACGGGGGCCATCGGCGGTGCTACATCGATCCCGTGAACGACGGGGTCCTCCTCCCACGAGAGCTCCACGGTCTCCGCCAGTAGCTCAAGAATTCCACTCTTGCACTTGAAACCCACGGCACGGGCGGTCCGATAATCGAGCATCTCCGCCGCCCCTCCGATGGGGCCGCCGGGCGCGCCGGCGGGGCCGAAGGAGGGGGGCCTTCCCGCCCGCCCACGTCCGAGGGCAAACTTTCGGGGGCGCACGACCAACGACCAACGGACGGGCGATGGTGACAATGGCGTAGATGACGATGATGACAACGATGATGATTGCGATAACGATGACGATGATAGCCACTATGATGATGAAGAAGATGATGATAATGATGATGGTGATGCGGATGATGATGAAGGTGACGGTGGTGATGATGATGGCGATGGTGATGCCGATGCTGATGGCGACGAAGCCGTCGACGGCGGAATGCAGCGGAAGCTTTCGGATCGGGCTTGCTGCCAGGCTCCCTCACGCAATATTTAGCGGAGTCGCACAGCAGCTCGCGCCATCGACCAAACTCCACCTCTAGAGGGGTGGCGTCCCAGCGATGAGTCACCGTCAGATCCGCCACCGTGCCATTGGGCGCGGAGTGGGCGCGCCCTCAAGTCCTTTGCCCAATCTCCCAATCCCCAGTCCTCAGCCCCGAGGGGTCTTCCAGGTTGACGGGGCTCGGACCCGAAAATCTCAAATCTCTCGGGCCCCCCGGCGTGGCCCCCAGGGCCTGGCACATCTCCCCGCGCGACTGTTCGGGCCCAGCGGGGGCCCGGGGAAAGGCCGATGGGGGCCTCGCGAAGACCCTGGGGCCGTCCAAGAGGGCCCCGAGTCGCCGAACGATCGCTCCAGCGCCCCAAGACGACCGCAATATGACCCAGGAGTCTCCGAGACGCCCGCGGAGGCCTCCCAGAGGCCCCCAGGGGAGGCCCAAGAAGCAAACGTCACTCACGTTCCTAAGGCTTTGTTTTAGGGTTTGGGCGATCTCGCCCTGTCGCTGCTCCCCGGCGCTGCAAGACGACCCCGGAGGCCCCTTTCGCCGCGCCCAAGCGGGCACAGGGCCGCCGCGAGGGCCCCGAGACGGCCCGGCAGCGCCCCGAGACCCAGGGCGGGCCAAGAGGCGCCCGCCAAGACGGCCCAGAGAGGGTCCCATAACGGCCCCAAAATGATCTCGAGAGAGGGAACGTGAAACGAAAATGCGCCCTCAACCAGGCGCGGCGGCGGGGTGGGCCGAAGGCCATTAGATATCGGAGCTTCGGCCCTGCCCGAACCCTATCGCAGAACGCCTTGACATGCACGTTCTGGCCGAACAGCGCCGCGTGGGCCGCGGCCCCCAGCATGGACGATTGACTTCCACTCGGCCTGGAATGATGAGTCGCAGTCGCACCCAGCATCTCCAAGGAACTCTTCACGACGAAGTCGTGCGACCATGCATTCCGATTCTTGCCCTGGCGGCGCAGGCGGGGGGACTGCTCATCTCCCCCCCTCCATCCCCCCCCCTCATCCTCGTCCTCCCTACTTCCCTCCCTCCTTCCTTCCTCCCGGCCTCCTCCCACCCTCCCTCCCTCCTGCCTCTCTGGCCCGCGCTGCCACGCCCTGCCCCCCCTCTATCGTCCTCGTTCCCCCCCATTCCCCCCCCCTCCCCCCTCCTTCTCGCCCCCGCGGCTGCCTGCAGTGAGTCGGCGACCCGGTCGCCCACGTGCAATCTCGTCGCGGAGAAGGCGTCGGCCGTCGCCGCGAACTCCTGGGGCGATCTGAACTCTCGCTTCGCTGCTCGCTGCACAGCCAGTCGATCGTTGAACGCGAGCGCAGACACCACCTCCTGCCACGTGCGCTTGCGGTGACCTGGCCCGGGCGCCACGGCAGCTGGCGCGCTGAGGTCGGGCAGCGCGCTCATGGCGTCGCCGTCGTCGGACTCCACATGCAAACCGTCGGCGTCGAGCTCAGAGTCAGGGCTCATGCCGCCGCAGTCTGGCGAGCCCTCGAGCGCGACGCCACCCGCGTCGGAACCGAGGCTGAGTCCGCCCAAAGAGATGCGGTCATCGTCTGAATCTAAGATCAGATCGTCGGGGACGGGGCCCGCCATCCTCGGAGAGCTCGAGGCCGACCCCGCCCGAAGGGGGGGGGCACGGAACGGCGGGGCCCACCATCCTCAGAAAGCTCGAGCCCGCCCCCGCCCGAATGGGGGGGGGAGCGGCGGCGGGGGCAGAGGAGGAGGAGGAGGAGCCTGAGAGGGATAAGAGGATCGAGGAAGGACGGGGCAAACAGCGAACCTCGGGTGGAAATCCGATCGGCGTCACCACGGCAGGTTTGTGATCTGCCGACTTCGGCGCTGGTTTCTGACGTTGCGGGGGTCGGTCGACCTTGAACGAACGGCCGATTCGGAAATTTACAATAGCGTCGTCTGTTGGCCGCCAGCGGCGATCAACGTTGAACGCTGGCGGTGCCGGTCGGCGCGATGCAACTATAGTAGTTGAAGGCTTCACGTAACTGACGTATCTAAAGATATTGAAGGATAAACAATAATTGCAACCGTGATCATTCAATAAGTAGTAATGCTCTGCGTATGTATACATATTGAATATGCATATATATATACATATATATATATACGTGAATCGTTGAAGAGACATTTAACTGAATTTATACACATATAACATATAACTAAACACAGTGTAGAAACTATAAATGGCTAGCGCCATTATTATAGTCGGAGCTATTAATCCGTCATATAGTATGTTCTATGTATAGAGTGATGCATGCAAGAATTGCTGTATTGTTATTTAAATTGTTTTCGTAGGGTATATGGTTAGTCGAATTATTGTCTTTGCATTGCTCTATGAGTATGATTGCTTGAAATGTTAGCTTAGGGTTGTTTAGAGTGTTTTTCTTGATACTTGCGTTGTTTGTTGCTGCTCCGCCCCATGAAGCTTCGCGGCCTGGCAGAACTTGGTTTGCAAAACCCATGCGGAAACGATTGCGATGAGTGCTTCGTGTTGGCTGGTGCATCTCTGCGGCCGTTCTAGCCCGCGCATGCTCGCGCGCGCAGCGGCAAGCTATTTTGGCGCGAACGCTGTGGCGCTGACCGCTGGGCACTTCCCAGCGGGCACTTCAGTGCGAATCGGCGACTTGGGCGGGCGCGGTATCATGGCAACGTCGGCAACAGTAGACACGATGATGCAAGTAGCGATGTTGGTGACGATGCTGACTGCGACGGCGGGGCAGCCAGTGTCGGCGCCGATGCTAGTCACGCCGACGACGATGACGGCGTCTTCGCGTCGGTGATGAAGGTTTTGGAGGGAGTTCGAAATGCGCGCACAGCAGACGCACGAGAGTGGCCCGCATGGTATTATTTGACACGGATCGTGCCACCCCACCACGCGCGCAAGGGCGTTCGAAGATTTCGACATGCGCGCGCGCGAAGCCCGTTTGATAGCAAGTAATGAAAATATTGCAAACCGCATGGTTCTCTTAAGAATTCGCCCGAACGCGCGCGCGCAGGTTGTTTTGAGACATCCGTGTTGCGAAACCCTATGTTTTACATGTTTTAAGGACACTCGATTTTGAAGTCTTCACGAAACCGAGAATTTGGAAAGGATGTCGGCATGCGCGCGCGACGACGCGCACGTGTGCATGTCGTTTCATTTGCTGTACAGGATTTTGGGGAACTTATGATTTTGATAAACGATCGTGCGCGCATTGTTTTTTAGCAGAGGATGGCGGGGGGGGGCGATACCGATTGGGCTGGGATGGTAGGAACTCATATCTAGGATGGGCGATGACACAGAATCATACGGAAATTGCAATACGAAAACGGGTGCCGATCATCCTGGGGGGGATCGACTGTATTTCTTTGTCGAAAGGAGAATCTATATGGCGCAATCGATGTTGCGCACTATGCCGGGGCGGCGAGGGCGACAACAGCGCCGCCAGACCGCCAGGCCCAGACGACGGGCGACGACGAGGCCACGATGGGGCGGCGACGGCGACAACAGAGCTGCCAGACCGCCACACCAGCCCAGTTCCCTAGAACAAAAGTAAGAACCCCTAAGTGCAAACACTGTTTGGGGAATGCTCGAACATCGCCCCAGAACCATTCGAAAGGGCTTCCAGGCCGTCCAAGGGAGCCTCAAAGACGGCACAACAGGGTTCCAAGATGGTCTAAGAGAGCTCCATGACGGCCCAAGATGGTCCCAAGACGCCCTCCGAAGCATTCCAAATCGTGACCCGGTCGTTCAAGGAGACCGCGGTTGGAGGCAGGGTGGCCCGAGGAAGCCCCCAGGGGCCCCCGGAAGACGCCCAGGCCTTCAGAAGGCCTTAGAAAGCCTGAAAAACTTCTGCGACGCCCCCACAGGCTCTCCAAGGAGGAGCGAAGAATTCGCAGGGTAAGGCGAGAACTAAGAAAAAGAGACATGGAGGAAGGATTACGAATAACGTTACTACGACGGCGATTCGGGAAAAGGCAACAAGGCGTTATCGCCAAATTCTCTGTTGGACCTTCCTGCCATTCTGCCTGCATACCAAACTTCACGGACCAAGGTGAATGGCGCGAAGCGCCACTGCAGTCTTATATATAAATATACACACACTAGAACCATCGCGCGCTTCGCGCGCGCTCAAGTTCTAGCTAGGATCCTCGTAATCGTCACCATCGCCATCATCATCGCCATCCTCATCGATATCGTGGATATCGTCGTCAGCATCATCACAACCATCACGATCACCATCACCATCATCATCGTCACCTTCGACATCATCATCGTCATCATCAGCATCTTGTGGGGCTTCCAGGAAAGTGCTCGAGGGCCCATTCGAGTGCTGCTTGACAGGCGCTTTGGGACAGATGTTGCGTGCGGGGAGTGGAAGCCTGAGGAATCATGTTATCGGAGAGCTTTCTGGTAACATAATGGCGTGTATGAAGGCCCATTGGGGGGCTGTCCGGCAAGCGTTTTGGGACGCATGGTTGGGGCCGGGGGCGGAAGCCTGAGGAATCATGTTCCCGGAAGGCTTCCTGGGAACATGATTTGTTGGGGTGTCGTTGGGTGCCTCCGGAGGCTTCGGGGCCTGACGCGTTTCCGAAAGAGGCGGCAGGTAGCGCTGCTTGGGACTCTCGTTGTTTTTTCCTGGCAGGCGTTTAGGGAACATGGTTTGAGCAGAAAGCGGCACCCCGAGAATCATGTTCCGGGAAGCTTTCCGGGAGCATCATTTGTTCGGCTCTCTTGAGAGGGGGGCCTCTGGGGGCTCACCGAGGGGCCCTTTTTGGCCTTGTCGGCAAGCCTATTGGAAACATGGTTGGGGCGGTGGGCGGAAGCTCAAGGAATCATGTTCCCGGAAAGCTGTCTGGGAAATGAGATTTACCGAGGTGTCTTGGGGGCCCGCAGGGGACTTCCCTGGGGGCCCCTTGGGGGCCTGTTGGGGCTTCCGGGTTGGGAGCCTCGCGGGGCTTCTTGGGAGCCTCTTGATGGCCTCTGGGGGCGTCCTAGGAGCCTCTCAGGCCGGAGACCTTGAAATGCCGCGCTCTGCGGGCCCTCCTGGGTCGCTCTTGGGGCTCTCTTGGGGCGCTCTCGAGGTCCTCTTGAATCCCACCAGCCCTTTGGGCGTGAGTGGTTTAGCGAGCTCTCTCTGTTCTCAACCCCCCTTCTTCCCCTTCGGGGAGGGGTTTACCCCTCCCCCTACCCCCTCCCACTGGACCTGGAGAGGGGGTTTCGCGGGTCGTTGGAGGGGTCTTTTTCGACTCCTGGGGAGGCTAAAATTCGACACCCCTCACAAGGATTCTGGCCCCGACGGGGGGGAGGAGAAAAGTGCTCGCCCCATCTGTGATCGATCGCCCGAAAGATGGCCCCAAGATACCTCCCAGACCCCTCCCAAAGAGCCCCAAGAGGCCCCAAGAGGCCTCCAAGAGGCCCCCAAGATGCCCCCAAGATGCCCCCAAGAGGCCCCAAGAGGCTCCCCCGAGGCACCCAAGACGCTCCTGGAAGCCCCTGGGGCCGCCAAGAGGCCCCCAAGACGCCCCAAAAGGCCTCCAAGAGGCTCCGGGCCCGAACGACTCACACCAGGACGAGGCGCCCGAACGACTCACACCACGAGGAGCCCGAACGACTCACACCACGACGAGGGCCCCGAACGACTCACACCACGAGGAGCCCGAACGAGTCACACCAGGAGGAGGGGCCCGAACGACTCACACCAGGACGAGGGGCCCGAACAACTCACACCACGAGAAGCCCGAACGACTCACACCAGGACGAAGAGCCCGAACGACTCACACCACGAAGAGCCCGAACGACTCACACCAGGAAGAAGGGCCCGAACGACTCACACCAGGACGAGAAACCCCAAACGACTCAAACCACGAGGAGCGCTTTCTCTCCCTCCTCCTCCGCCTCGTCCTTCTCCCGCTCCCACCACAAGGAGGATGTACAAGGAGGCGGGAGGAAGGAGGAACAGGGGAGATATGCGGGGGCAGGCGGAAACACGCCTGAAAAACACGACTGTCGGCATGCTCTGCAAGAGTTGCTGTTTTGAGATGGGCTGGTGGGGATACGCGAAGCGTGAAGAATTATCTGGGGAGCCTCCTGGGCCGTGTCTGGGCTTTCTTGGGAACCCATTCGGCCGTCTTGGAGCGATCTGAAGGGCCTCTGACGCCGTCCGCGACCGTGGGGAGGCCGAACATGCGAGAGCGCAAAAATGCTTAAAAAAACCATCGGACTATTTATAATTTTCGGCTTCTGGGGCCCTTTGGAGGGGCCCATGGAGGCGCTCTTGGGGCGTTTTGGCGGCGTCGTCGGCTGTCCTGAGGCCATCTTCGGCGTGTCTGGGGCCTCTTGGGGCTGTCTTGGCAATATTTAGGGCCCTCTTGGCGTGTCGTGGCGTGTTTGGGAGCGGGCCCGAGCAGTCCCGGGAGCCCTGGGACCCCCCCAATCCCCCCATGGGGGGGTACGGCTCAGGCCCGGGCCCCCCCTGGCCTACTCCGATATATATATATACACACACACATACATACATACATACATACATACATACATACATGCATGCATGCATGCATGCATGCATACATACATACATACATACATACATACATGCATACATACATATATTCCCCAATCAGAACTTGCCTCTGTAGGGATCCTAGCGGATTCATATGGTTAGGTCAGGTTTGCCGCCGATTTTCGCCGCACGCCCTGGTGCCCGGGTGCCCGGGGGTGCCCAAGTGCCCGGGTGCCCGGGGGGTGCCCCGGGGTGCCTGGGTGCCCGGGTGCCCAGGCGTGCCCGGGGGTGCCCGGAGGTGCCCGGGGGTGCCCTATAGCCCTATAGCCCAATAGCCCAATAGCCCTACAACTCTATAGACCAAAGCCCTACAGCCCTATAGCTCAATAGCCCCATAGCCCCATAGCCCTATAGCCCCGATTGGGATTTTTCTCCAGTATCATATATATACACATATACACAACTGTGTATATACATAGATGTGCATATACATATCTAGCTCTATATATATACATATATATATATGCATTTGTGTGTGCGTGCGTGTGTGTAAAAATGCATGTGTGTAGAAAGAGAGAGGGAAAGAGAGAGAGAGAGAAACACAGAAAAACATGATGGACCCACGAACCCGGAAAGGGATATAGACATGCGCAGCATGGTCACGTTTTCACGATACCCAACTGGGCGACATCTCACAAAACATCCCACGAGACACCCCGCGAAACATCCCACGAGACACCTCGCGAAACATTCCACGAGACACCTCGCGAAACGTTCCACGAGACACCCCGCGAAACATTCCACGAGACACCCCACGAAACATTCCACGAGACACCCCACGAAACATTCCACGAGACACCCCACGAAACATTCCACGGGGGTGCGACTGGGTGTGGTCGTGCTGGGGTGTGGTCGTGCTGGGGTGTGGTCGTGCTGGGGTGTGGTCGTGCTGGGGGGTGGTCGTGCTGGGGGGTGGTCGTGCTGGGGGTGGTCGTGCTGGGGAGTGGTCGTGCTGGGGCGTGGTCGTGCTGGGGCGTGATCGTGCTGGGGAGTGGTCGTGCTGTGGTGAGGTCGTGCTGGAGTGTGGTCGTGCTGGGGTGTGGTCTTGCTGGGGTGGGGCCGTGCTGGGGTGGGGTCGTGCTGGGGTGGGGTCCTGCTGGGGTGTGGTCGTGCTGGGGTGTGGTCGTGCTGGGGTGGGGTCGTGCTTGGGTGGGGTCGTGCTGGGGTGTGGTCGTTCTGGGGTGTGATCGTGCTGGGGTGTGGTCGTGCTAGGGTGGGGTCGTGCTGGGGTGGGGTCGTGCTGGGGTGTGGTCGTGCTGGGGAGTGGTCGTGCTGGGGTGTGGTCGTGCTGGGGGGTGGTCGTGCTGGGGGGTGGTCGTGCTGGGGGGGTGGTCGTGCTGGGAGGTGGTCGTGCTGGGGTGGTCGTGCTGGGGCGTGGTCGTGCTGGGGCGTGATCGTGCTGGGGTGTGGTCGTGCTGTGGTGAGGTCGTGCTGGGGTGTGGTCGTGCTGGGGTGTGGTCTTGCTGGGGTGGGGCCGTGCTGGGGTGGGGTCGTGCTGGGGTGGGGTCCTGCTGGGGTGTGGTCGTGCTGGGGTGTGGTCGTGCTGGGGTGGGGTCGTGCTGGGGTGGGGTCGTGCTGGGGTGTGGTCGTTCTGGGGTGTGATCGTGCTGGGGTGTGGTCGTGCTAGGGTGGGGTCGTGCTGGGGTGGGGTCGTGCTGGGGTGTGGTCGTGCTGGGGAGTGGTCGTGCTGGGGTGTGGTCGTGCTGGGGGGTGGTCGTGCTGGGGGGTGGTCGTGCTGGGGGGGTGGTCGTGCTGGGAGGTGGTCCTCAGAATTCAGGTCCCCAGGAGAGGACAATCTATAACACAAAACAAGCGTTTCGCTCGAGACATCCTCACCATTTTCTGAAAAACAAGCGTTTCGCTCGAGACATCCTCAAATTTTAATTCGCGGGCGCTCAAAAACAAGCGTTTCGCTCGAGACATCCTCTAATTTTAATTCTCGGGCTCGTTATTTATCAGGGAAAAATTCGCCGGCCTCCTTCGACCTCGTTATTTATCAGGGAAAAAATTCGCCGGCAATTCGCCGGCCTCCTTCAAGCAGGCACCGGGGGACAGGTTTACCTACTAAAAGAGAACCCTGGGCCCGAGCCCTTTCCGGGAAAAACGATCAAGAGAAATACATATGGAGATGGAATCTGAAATAGAGAGAGAGAGACAGAGAGATACGTTCCAGTGATGTGCAACGCTCCACTCAATCCTCCTCCTGCTCCTCCTCCTCCTCCTCATCATCATCATCATCACCATCACCATCACCATCACCATCACCATCACCATCACCATCATCATCATCATCCTCAGCAGCATCAGCAGCATCATCATCATCAGCATCAGCATCAGCATCAGCATCAGCATCATCAGCATCATCATCATCATCATCAGCTTCATCATCATCATTATCAGCAGCATCAGCATCATCATCAACAGCAGCATCAGCATCAGCAGCTATATCATCAGCAGCATCCTCGTCATGTCATAATCATCATCCTCAGCAGCATCATCATCGTTCTCTTCCTCCTCCTCCTCCTCCTCATCCTCCTCCTCGTATCATCCCCATCGTGATTCACATCCTTATAGTCATCCCCATCATCATCACAATTACCACGGTCAGCCTAGATCATCCCAGCCCTCGTATTTCTCCACATCCCGCTCCTTCTCCTCCTCGTCCTCCTCCTCCTCCTCCTCCTCGCTCTCCTACTCCTGGGGACAGGCGAGCGGACTTGAGAATGGCCAGGGACAGGAGCCAGGAGGAGGAAGAAGAGGAGGAGGACGACGACGTTGAGGGGAAGACGGAGGAGGGACGGCAGCGACAAGCGAAGGCACGCACCCCACGGTGCCTCCCGCTACTCCCGACAAGCGTCGCTCGCAGCATTGTGCGAGCGACGCCGCCCCTCCCCACGCCACCCCCAGCTCTTGCCAGGGCGGACAAAGCGGGTCTAGACCTCCGCCGTGGGTCCCGGCGTCCGCCCCCTCCCCCCTCCCCCTCCCCAACCTCACACTTGCTCCACCAGACGAGCTACAGCACACCCAGAGGAAACTGGACCTTCTCCCCCCGCCCTCGCTCCCCCACCCCTCAGCCTTGCACGGGTTCCCCCGGGGCCGTGGGCGACCCGAGGAGGAGGAGGAGGGGGAGGAGGAGGAGGGAGGAGGGGGAGGAGGAGGGGGGAGGAGGAGGGGGAGGAGGAGGAGGAGGAGGAGGAGGAGGAGGAGGAGGAGGAGGAGGAGAGGTGGAGGTGGAGGTGGAGGAGGGGGAGGAGGAGGAGGAGGAGGAGGAGGAGGAGGAGGAGGAGGAGGAGGAGGACGACGACGACGGGTCGCCCAAGCCCTTCGGAGAAACCCTCCACTCAGCACTCGGCCCTCCCTTCTCCCTCCCTGCCTCAAGGGAGCCCCGAGCTCGGGGGCGCCCGAAAGAGCGGGGGGCGTCCGGGAGGCTGGGGGCGCCGCGACGCCGTGGCCAGAGGCAGGTGAGGCGGACGAGGGGGCGCCAGGAGACGCATTGAGAGGAGGCGAGAAAGGCTCGAAGTCCGCGGATATCTCATGGCCCCCGCCACGATGCACCCAGTGGGACGAACAATCTGAGCATTTTCTTAGGGTGGAGGGCTCAGGGTGAAGTCCATGTGGGCTTCTGCGCTTCGAAAATCAATCCGTCTTGTGAGCCACCTTTTGCAGACTCTAGGCTTGAAAATCAATCGAAACGGCATTTCAGATTTTACGCTTTCCCCTCCACCCAAAGAGAATGCTCGGACAATGACATACACATATAAACGCGGAGATCCGCGCGGATTTTTCGGATCGGCGCTGGACCCTCTTTTCGGCGCCTCCGGCGCCGCCCCTGGCGCGCTCCGCGCGCCAGGGAGGGGGGTCCAACACGGATCCAGGAAATCCGCGCGGACCTCCGAGTTTTTGTGTGTATGTAAGTTTTCGTTCCCCTAGTACCCCCCCTACCCGCTGGTCGTTAGAAGTAGGTAGAAGCATGAAGTAGGAAGACGTCGCAAGCAGGTTGGGTTTCCGCCCGCCCCCTGAGGGAAAAGATGGAACTCCATTCGACCCTCAGAGTGGAAGGCACCCAAAGCGGGTTGGGACTTGGGCACCCAAGAGAACCTGCTCTCAACGACCGACGGTTTATCACTACCCCCCCCTCCTGGACGCCCCCGACGATGCAATCAGCACATCGCGGGCTGGCGCTAGCGCAAGGGCCTCGCCCGCACGAGAGGTCCCGTCAGCTGCGCGCCAGGGGCCCCTCCAGCAGCCACTGGATGAAGCGCTCCAGGATTGGCTCGCAGATTTCTCTGGGGCCCCACTTGGTTGCCACCTCGACCAACCTCTTCGGCGGCGAGCCCAGGGGCGAAGCGGGAAGGGGCGGGCCTTCTCGGAAGGCTCGGGAGCCCCCTGGTCTCCGAGAAGTGTCCTGAGCCTCCCACGGAGCCACGAAAAACCTCCCAGAAGGCCGAAGGGCTTCCGAGAAGCCCCGCCCCTTTCTGAGAAGGCCTCCTCCTTCTCACTTCCTCCCCCTCGCTCGCCGCCGAATTTAGTTTTTGGGTCGTAACTCGGGTCTCTGGCAAGCGTTCGGGGCGATCTGGGTACCCCCGGAACGCCCTCGGCGAGCCACAGGTGCTGGCAAGCATCCCAAGGCTGGAAAACCGCCGAGAACCGACGAAAAAACGCCCGAAGACGTCGAGCCTCGAACCCGAAACTTCCCCCCATCGCTCGCCGCCGACCCTCTGCAGAGCTCCGGGTCCTCGTCGAACACCTCCTGGAAGGTCCGCGTTTGCAGCAGGCCGAGGACGCCGAGGGGGGCCATGCGCTGGCCCGCCTGCCGCACGCCGGAGCTGCTGCGGCCACCGCCGGCGGCGCCCGCGCGCGGGTCGCCGCCCTCGGCGTATCCTGCGGCAGTGGGCCCCCGCCCCAGGCCCTCCCTTCTTGGCCACGCGCAGCGGGGGGTAGGGGGACGGACGGACGGGCGCGCAGCTACAGCCAACCCGTATAGGAAGGGTGCGCGGTAAGGATGCAAGGCCTTGGGAAGCCATGTGGACGTTTCTCGAGTGGGGCGCGGCCAGCGAAAGCGGCCAGGGATGGGCCTCAGGGGCAAGGGTGCAAGGGCAACCTTGGAAAACTCGATCATCCTCACGATGCGGGGCTCATCCTCCTCCTATCTCCTATCTCCTATCTCCTATCTCCTATCTCCTATCTCCTATCTCCTATCTCCTCCTCCTCCTCCTCCTCCTCCTCCCCCTCCTCCTCCTCCTCCTCCTCCTCCTCCTCCTCCTCCTCCTCCTCCTCCTCCTCCTCCTCCTCCTCCTCCTCCCCCCCCTCCTCCTCCTCCCCCTCCAGCAGTCCCAGAGGCCCGGCCTGTGAGGGCGGCGGGGCCGCCGCCCCTCTCTTTGAGGAGGCTCACGGCGTGCGACAGCAGGGCGTGCGAATCCGGTCCAGCGTCCCGAAAACATGTACAGAAGGAGGAGGAGGAGGAGGAGGAGAAGGAGGAGGAGGAGGGGGAGGAGGGGGAGGAGGGGGAGGAGGAGGAGGAGGGGAGGAGGAGGAGGAGGAGGAGGAGGAGGAGGAGAGGAGGAGGAGGGAGGAGGGAGGAGGAGGGGAGGAGGAGGAGGAGGAGGAGGAGGAGGAGGAGGAGGAGGAGGAGGAGCCTTCCACAAGAAACCCAATCCTGAGACTCCAAAGCGTCCATGGATTTTTGGCGCGGGGACGCCACGCTTTCCATCGCAAGACCATCGAACCCCCTCGGTTTCGCTCGTGCTCCCTCCTTCGATCAGCCTGAGCGTGTCGGGGTGGGCGCTCGGAGAACTCGATCGAAACGACCGATACTTGCTATCGCGGCCAATCCCCCGCTGCAGCTGCTCTGGGAGATAGGCGCTCCTTTTGCTTGGGCCCAAACGCCGGCGCTGCAGGTAAGCATGTCAGTCCAGTGAAACAGGGGAAAGCGGGTCTTCACCCCCCACAAATCACACTCATAATATTTTCTCTGACTAAGCATGCCTACAAGCCGACGCTGGCTCAGTTCAACAACAAGCCAGACAAATGTAAATATGGAGGTCCGCTCACTCCCGATATCCTGAGCGACTGGGCCATGTAGTAGTCTATCCCGTCGAGAATCGCCCAGCCGTCGGTCTCTAAACCGGCTCAAGAGCTCACGCTTCTGCTTCTCCAGACGAATCGCATTGACCTCAGCGCGAAGCTCCGTGTCCTCGGACCACCACTTCGTGTCTCGGTCCACGAGCAGTGCATCGCAAAGGCGGCAGCGCACCTTCTCCTTCTACCGGTTGGTGCCAACAGTGGTTAGCTGACCCGCTGGATGTATACATTCATCTAGGTCAACTCTGCATGCACTCCGTGACTTGCCTTTTCCTTTCTCGCTGCCCTTGCCCTTCGGCATTTCCTTCGTGTCACAACTCGCTCGACGGCGCTTGCTGCATCCTGCGACCACCAGCTGGTCTGCCTCTAGGATGTCGTCCTCCAGCACGTCACCGAGGTCGTGCTCCACCTGCTAGTAGGACGCATGCTTCCAGCGCTCATGTAGCTTGCGGGCCTTATCCATTGGCAGTCCTGTCGTCTCCCTTCTGGATGTCGATCCTCCGGACTGCTGTCTCGCCTGGAACCTCGACCCGCTCATCGCCGTCATTGGGGACGCGGGCGTTTTGGTTGGCCTTCTTGCGAGTCCTCGGCTGACACTCACACTGGTCTACAACCATCCGGCGCACCGCGCGCGCCATCAGCGTTGTGCCTGCTCCAGCGGCGCCTCCTCCGATCTCCTCGGTCTCAGCACCTGCGGCGTCCATCATGTACTCCTTCGCATCGTCTAGGTCCGCAGTGCCGTCTTTACTCTGATTCTCGTCCGAGTCCACAAATACACTCTCGTCCTAAATTGCATTATTGTCCACGTGGTTCTCGATATCCTTGGTCATGTCCGTCTTCTTCAGGTTGTGCTTCTCCATGAAGTCCTTCTCGCAGCGCTCGAGAGCCTCCTCGGTCGGCGCGTATATCGTCAGCAACTTACGCGCATGGGTCGGAATCCTCCGACGTTTCGCCACCTGGCCCAGCCCTGTCGAGTCGACCGTGCCCTCGAGCTTCTCGCAATAGATGTGGCCCTCGCGCCGGCCCAGCATCATCCGCCAACGGAGGTAGCGCTTGGGAGCAGGTCGAGACGCATGCGCATTGCACCTCAAGTCCGCAGTGCAATCCTCGAAACATTCGTGGCCTTCCCGTGCAAAAGGCTGGCCAGCAGGTCGACGTCGACGAGGATACTTCGAGCGATGGTACTCTACTCGCCCCTGCGACCTTCAACTCCATCCGTTGCTCAGAGATGATCTGCTCTGCCATGGGCCCCTCCGTCAAACGGCACTCGCCCGTCCGGAGCACATGCCTCTTGTAGTCGCCCGCGCGGACGTCCTGCTTGGTCAGACAGCCGGCGAGCGTCTGCCTGGCGTTCACCCACTTGCTCACCACGTTGTTGAACTCAATGTCGTTCCTGAGCGACTCGATGTTGATGAGCAGCCGCTTCTCGGACGGAGCCACCCCTCGCTTCTGAAGCAGGTCATGGAGCGACTTGCAACCAGTGACCTCCGCCATCTTGATCGCCTTTACGTCGTCCATGTGGGTCCGGTAGCCCAGCCCGCGGTGCAACTCCACCAGGTGCTGTCTCAGCACGTCGCCACTCTCGACCGCCCCCAGAACTGCCGTCGTCTCGGCTGCCAGGGTACTCCGTCCCACCCGCTTGATGCGATATGCTCGCCACAGCATCGGGGTGACCTTGGCAGGCCTCCCGCGTGGGAACTGATCGCCAGTGTTGTCCGCGAGCAAGATGACCAGGCCCGCCTGGCTAGCGGTCTTTGTCTTGCCCTCGTCGCCGTGGCTCGAGTCCCCCACTGCCGCCGCAATCACGCTGTCCATGTCCAACTTCTGGAAAGTGATGTCCACGTGGTCGGTCTTGGCGTCGCTCACGAGCTTGTTGTAGTCCAGCAAGTCTTGTACCTTCAGATACAGTCGCGAGCCCTAGCCTGGCTATCCGCCAACCGGAATGCCAAGTCCATCCGCGTAGAACGGAACATCCCCTGGGTCTGGCAGTTGCCGCAGTGGAGCATCGCCCCTTCCTCCGCCGTGGCCTTCGCCTCCTTTGTCCCCCGACGTTCGGACGAGATGGCAATATTCTCGATCCTCTCCGTGTACTCCTTCTGGCTGCACGTGATCGCGCCGTTGTCGTTCTGCTTTGGGAAGCGCCCGTGGTGGTGGAAGCCCACCTTCGCCGTCTGCCACTTGCCGCAGCAGTGCAACTTCCTCAGCTCGGCCACCTGATTTTCGAAGAACTCGGGCGACCCGCGACGAGATCGTCGTCGACGCGCGCCCCGGTCAGACCGATCAGCTTCCCCCTCTCATCGCGGAAGACGAAGAGGGCCGGGCGCAGCTTGGATCTCAAAGCCCCAGGAAGCGATAGGATGGCGTCGCGATGCTCCTCCTACCACAACAGGAGGCGCATCGTTCAACCCGTAGATGCACTTCTTCGCTTTCAAGATAATCCCTTCTGGGGCGAACGGCCATCCCAGCTCCGGCACCGCTGTCAAGATACCTCCCGTTCAGAAATGCCGAATACACATCGCCCTGCTCGAGGCTCCAGCCTGGCTGGCTGGCAGCGTCCTGGATGATCACCGCCGTAGCCGTGTCCGTGAGCGTCGGCGCGTTCGTCTGCAACTCGCCCGCAAATAGCTGCTTGTGCATGTAGCCCGGGACGATGTTCCGCGACTTCGCCTTCAGCGGGCGTTGCTCGTACGAGAGGCTGCCCCTCGTCGGCTCATTCTTGTCAGTGCGGACGCGCCTCATGGGTAGGATGTCCGCTTTCTCGACGCTCGCATGCCCCTCTTCGCTCGGCCACTCCACAGCGTCATACTGAACCCATTTACGCCATTCCTCCAGGTTGCTCGCCTCGAATGCCGGCTCCCATTTTGGCGGGATGCTGCGAAGCTGCCGACCTTTCTTGGGGCAACCTGCTTCTTCGCGGCGTCAGTGCCCCTTGCCACACATGCGCCACTCGAGCGATTCTTCACCTTGAGGAAGAGAACTTCCTCATCCATCGTCGTCCTCGATCCTCGGGAGACGACTCTGCTTGAGAGCCTCACGACGCACTCGAAGTCGTTCGCGATCTGCTTCGAAGTCGCCAGGTCGAGATCGTTTGTAGAGAGACCCTAAGGCCAGGTTGTGGCGCAGGTTCTTGCTGCCCCTCTTGCTCAGGTTGTTGCTGCGAAGCACTTGGCACAGTAGCCGCGTCTAGGTCCGCAGCACGTCCCTGCCCACCTACGCCAGGCGCAGGTGGGCCGTCAGCCGTAACATCTTGCATGCCATGTCCATCTCCAGGTATATCTTCAGCTTTGACGTCTTGGATGTCGTGTCCATCTCCATGTAGTGGTGGTACTTCGGGTAGCACTCCAGGTTCAGGTGCGTCTTCCTCCTTAGTCTGCTTCTCCCGCTTGGGAGTGACCTCGGACCGTCGGGGGAGGCGGTGGAGTTTCCTCGGCTCGTGGCGTCTTGGCCGCCGGCGCGTCGCCCATGGCGTCCTCGTTGTCTGAGTCGCCGTCATCCTTCTTGCGACGCCTGGCACGCTGGCCGCCGCTCCCGTCAGGCCCAGGCCCGCGCTCATCCACGAAGCCCTTCTGGAGGGCAGGCCCTCCACGCCACTGTGACAGCTGCCTGAAGAGGTCCTCGTTCTCCACCATCTCAGCTTCACCGCGAGAGGCATGCCGCGCCTGTTCGGGCGCCGCGAGCAATGGCGCCCCACGGTAGCTGAGGTGCAGCCCGGCGTGGCCTTCAGCCGCCAGCACAATGGCCGGGCCGCGCCACCCGTGCTCGCCCTGGAGCCGCTTCGAATTCACGGGCTTCACCTCGCG